AATTGACTTATGCTCAAGAGATTGTGTTTAAGACCTTTAACAAGCAAGACATTATCTATGGACGAGTCATCGGACTTACCTACTGAGCCGACCCCAATTATTTTTCCTTTGCTGTTATCTCCAAAAACTACGTTTCCTCCTTTAGCGGGTTTGATTTGTAGGAACTTGGATGCATCTCCGGTCATGTGCTTGGAACATCCACTATCAAGGTACCAAAGTACACTTGATGCCTTCAAGCATACCTACAAAGATGATTTAGTAAGATTTAGGTACCCAAGTCTTTTTGGGTCTTTGAGTGTTAGGTGCAAAGTGGTAGTGTGATTCATTTTGTGCCCAATGCCTATGCCTAGTAAAGCAAACGGGAGCTATATGTCCTACCCTATTGCAATAGTGACAAACTACGTTTGGGTTATGCATCCTCCTAGGTTGATAGTAGTTGCTAGGGGCCTGACCATATTCATCCTGTTTTGAGAAAACCTTGTTTTTTGAAAATTTTCCCTTCTAGGTATTCTAGAGTTATTTTGTCTATTTGAAAAATTATTTTTATGCATAGAATCATTCCTAGGTTTTTGTCTAGGTTGTCTAGTGTCCCTAGGTTGACTAGGTTTTCTATTATCCTGATTTTTAACTTTCTTATGTTGAGCCTTAGGAGGTTTTCTAGGTGTTTGCTCAACGTTTTTATCCTTAGGTTCATTTTTATCAAAACCTATTCATTCCTTAGAAAAATGCATAGTGTCTAGAAGTAAATTAAGATCTTTGTGTGGTGTATTAAACTTCTTAACCGTACTCTCAAGTTTTGCAACTTTTTCTTTTAAAGTTTTGCAGGATTCACATTCACTGGAAGAACTTTCTGGTTTGTCAGCACTTCTCTTACCATAAAATTTATTTTCTTGTTTCAACCTTTCATTATCTTTTTCCAATTTGGCAAAATCATTTTCAAGAGTTGAAAGGCGTTTCTTTAAAGATTTGTTGGTTTTAGAAGAGCTGACAAATTCATTATAAATCTCATGAAGTGCTTCTTGCATTTCTTCAAAAGTATAAGAGTCGGAAGAAATGGTACATACCTCTTGAATGTTGTCGGTTTGATCTTCGTGCGCCATGAGGCAGAGATTGGCGGCTTCCTCCTCTTCCTGATCCGTTGACTCATCCCCGGAGTCGCCTCCCCAAGAGATGTAGGCGCGTTGCTTTTTGAAGCCAGGTTTGTCCTTGCCGCCTTTGCTTTTTGGACACCTCGGCTTGATGTGGCCTATCTCACCACAACCATAGCACTTTGGGGGCCCGTCGTGCTTTCTTCCTTTTCTTTCAAATTCTTTCTTCATGAATTTGTGGAACTTCTTGATGACGAGTCCGAACTCGTTGTCATCGTCGCTTGAGTCATCTTCCAC